ACTGTTACGTAAAAGATAGTCGATAAGGTATACTAAATCGCTGGATTTGTAATATCTGTAGTTGCTCTTAATTTCTTTACCATCTGTATAGAAAACATGGTAACCATTAGTGGCAATAAAGGATCTGTTGGCATTCTTGAAGCAAATGTTAAGAAGTTCTTGCATTTTCTTTATAATGAGATCATGTTCTAAATTTGTGAACATGTCCGTGAAATCCGCAGTGTAAATTCTGAGATTGTCGAACGTGATGTTGTGTAGTTCGTGACTTATATTAATATTACTTATAGACCAGTATGTCTTGATAGTCCTGTTGCGATTCTGTATTACTTTGGCGTAGTTAATAAAGTGATTTTTGAGATGTGTGAAGACTATGCGTAGTTCCTGGGCCAAGGGCTTAACACTGCTGCTATGAGCACCTGTGATGTATCTGAATTTGACTGGATTCTTATGTAGCTTTGGTAAGGCATATATAGTAGGTATTTCTGCATCAATGGATATATTGATATTATTCTTTACACAAAGGAATTTGTGCTTCAATATTAAAGAATACTTGTTGTATGAGGCATTAATTCATATGTGTTATTACTGTGTCCAGGTTCGACCCTCGATGAATCTTGGCATACTTTGAGTTTTTATAGGGTATTGCTGTAGCCGTGACCAAGATGATATAACAGTTTTATTGGCTAACGTTTCGGCCTTATCGCCTTCGTCAGAGCCTGGAAAAAGAAGTGGTATTACTGTTTCCACAGACGAATGTGTCAAGCCAGCAAACAACACTAGGGAGGAGCTACGTGACCTCCTAAGGCTGATCGAGTGATAACTGCGACAAGAGAAGAGTGTGCGTCCTGTGCCTTGGGGCTGGCTGCAAAAGTCATCTCTTCATTTGCGAGGCCGCACCAGCAGGCTCACCCCCTAACCGCCCACAGCATGTATTGATGCTGATGTTAATATATTTGTTGTAGCTGTCGGTAGCTGAAGTATTGTATTTCGGAGGTCTGATGACTTATTGCCAGAAGCTCACCAATAAAGGATTTGATAGAAGAGCTTCGAAAGCATCTATATAACAATTTTGATGAAGCTCAGAGATAGCAGCATTCTACATACCACACTTCTTTTTGTTTAACATAAGAACCCACGAATAGACAAGAAGTTAGATCGACAGCTAAACATAACGCTACAGCAGTACTTTGACGGTGTCACCCTCTAGCATTACAGAACGTATTAAGATGCAAGAGCAGAAGATACGTAGAGAATTTCATGAAACATTAGTAAGACGAACTTTTTTCAGCGTCAACTAAATGGGCGAAGACGAAAGCCGGCACTTCTAGCAACAAAGCCGGTCACTCTGATCACGAGTTTCCTTGCAAAGCTATTATGAACATTTTCAGTCGATGATTCATGTTTGCCCTTAATTTGAGGAGGTGTTTTGGGTAATTTGAGCAGTAATACTTAACTATAATAATACCCTTGCTATTAGAACCACTCACTTGTTTTCTGGTTTTTCTTCCTTGGCATCATGAACAGTATTTTCGTCCTGGACCGTCTGCACCGACTCTCTCAGACATTTTTTCTTCTACCACTCTGGCTCCATCATGAGAGTTGAAGAGGTAAGGAATATCTGCATAAACAATATGTCTCCGATTACCGGTCAGTCTCCCACTATGCTAGTGCTTCAAGCGGGAGGATGCAGTCTTGAAGATGAAGTGAGGTCGGGATGTCCATCCAAATTCATCTTGAGGCTACGGGTTGTGAGAATGTTGTATGGAAGGATCGCTTTTACAGCCGCTCTCCACAAGCAGCAGCACTGAGACCCGAACTACTGTGGTCTCGTATCATTGTGGGCAGAGCCAACGACGAGGATTTCGAGAGTGATTTTCCCTCCTACCTGATAGGGAAAACCACCTTCTAGAGCTGTCACAAGGGAAGTTCTAGTCTTTGATGCACGTATAAAAGGTAACGGATAAGGACGATAAGGTTTTTTCATTTTCAATTCTCTTTTTTCGATTCGCTTTACAGTTAACGCGCAGAGACGTCTCCACCTGACCTAAATGTCAGATTGCTTTAACTGTAAACCCATATCTCGGTTAGGGAAAAAGGACATAGACCCGCGGCCGAATGGTATCCCAGCAACGGCAACGCATGGTTTGAAATCGGTAGAAAGCTTGCCCGTTGCTTTGGAACACCAAACTGGCTCTGTCGTACAATATTTTTCAGGGATAGTACGTATTATGCATAGAACATGAAATAGGAAGTGAAACATTACTGGAAAAACGACGTAGTCTTCCATCCGTCCTCTTTCCGCTGAATTTTCCCTACCGAGATTGATATAAGCTTGTAAAGCTAATCTTTCAACATAAAACGTCCTCTCCGAAGCCAAGCAATTCTTCATTCTCCCATTTATATCTAGTTGAAGTCTTGCGTTCAGCGTTTGCGAACGGACTTCTTGTTCAGAGTCTGCAAATACAGCACATTATTTGAGTAATGCTCCACCTGCATTTTGATGACATGCACTGAAAATATTAGGGTTATGTCACGTCCAACTCGGAAAGTACCATATAAATTCGAGGGAGGTGAACTAGTCGTGTACTTCTGTTCGCTCCGCGGCTGCGGCACTTCTGCCATCGCTGAAGAAGAATTTTTGGCTCTTCACTGCATGATGTGGATTATTCCCACTCGTCCTGCTTGTAGCTGTAGGCGTCAAGGGAGAAAGAGCAGATGACAGCCCTACTGAGGAAGTCAACACGAGTATCGGCAATGAAGGCACATCAGTCGGGGAGGATGCGGTAAAGTTCGTATTTCCATTGCTGGTTTAGCATTTGCTGCTAAAATTTGAGTTACGTTGTGCGAACAAAGTACTATCTCATTGTAACCGCCGCAGAGTCCGATCCAAACGACAAGCTCACGACGATGGAAAGTATCCCGGTAAAAGATGGTACAACGGAACTGTGTTCATGTTGACAAGAACTTGAGTGAGCCGATTTAATATGTTTTTGCTTTTTGACTCATGTGTAACAAATTTTTTGTTGCTTTATTCAGATGATGCGGCCAAAGAAGCTTTTAGAAAAGCGAGCATATTTATGGGGGAACGACACGTGCATTGACTTCCATGAAGTAGAGTTCAGTGAAGATGAAGACGAAGACGGCGAAGAAGAGGGAGATCTGTACTATTATGAGGAAGATGGTGACAATGAGTACGAAGTAGACGTGGGAGTAGAAGAAGAATACGGTAGAAATAAAATGACTGAAAGGACATGGTTGCAATTCCCAGTTGCGATTAATTGTTTTCAGGCTACATTTTTGTAAGCGCTGGAGAAAAAGGCATATGCGAGTCAACTTCCGTTGGTAGAAACGGCGATATTCAGTTCCTCTACCTCGGTGAAGGATGTGAATCGGTACTGGTTTGAGGAATCCTTGCGAAGCTATGCGCTAAGCAAGGAGTGCGAAAACAATATTCTCAACAAAATCTTTCGATCGAGAAAAAAGCACTCTTTTTCCCCCGAGTTTCTCAATCTGACTTCATTTTTTATATGCTTCAGATTGGCATCGCCGCTCACGAAATTGGACATGCCCTTGGATTATATCATACTCACACAAGACGTGATCGTAACGAGCATGTCAAAATTATCCGCGAACATATAAAGGTGACGAGGTCTGAATTCTCCAAAAAGGCTGTAATATTGTAAGTAGCTGCTTCAGAATGATACAAGACTTCGTGAGCAATTCAAAAAGGCGAAACATATCAACAACTATAGGGTGCCGTATGACCCTGGTAGCATAATGCAGTACGAATTCACAGCGTGGGTTATGTTGAAGAGGTGCTTGTAGAAATAGAGATGATGCATTTTATTCCTCATATTTAGCGGTTCTTTCAATGAAACAGCGCCTACTATAGAGGCCAAACGCCGTAAATATATGTGGACTCTAGGATCTAGAATGATTTCGTTCTACGATTTGCTTTTAATGAATAAGCACTACAACTGCACTGGTAAAGTAGTTCTTTTATGGAACTTGCGCTGCTTATTGATCACGAGAGATGGTGTTCTAGACAAATGCAAAGAAAACATAACGTGCCATAATGACGGAATCCCTCACCCTCGCAACTGCTCCAGATGTCTTTGTCCCACCGGATACGGAGGACTGTTTTGCAACGAAAGGGTAACTGATTCTGTTGCAGCTCGGACTTGTGTGTTCCTTGAAAAAGTTGACTTAGCCATCGGGTTGTGGCAAAGACTTGAATGCTACCGGAAATTGGACAGTGTTCAATGAACCATTGGACGGTCGGAATGCCAGCTCTGAGCCAGACGGTTATGCAAAATGTTACTACCGTATACAGGTCTGCTATATCAAGGAACGCACCACTTGTGAACTGAAAGATCATTCAGGCTCCGGAGGGTACAAAGGTGAAAGTGAAATTGATGGAACTCCCTGTTGATGACACCGTGGGTGGATGCATATATGCTGGCGTTGAAATTAAAGCACAAGAGGATCAAGCTAACACAGGCTACAGGTAGTCAGATTTCAGGATATAGGTAAACTAACGCGTCACAAGTATCTAGGAACTGTTCAGATTCTGCTCAGAGAGCGTTCTCAACACAACACTAACATCAAAATCCAACATGCTACCAGTGATAACGTTTAACAGCGAAAGCCGTACAACTGTAACAAGACTGATGTACCGCTTTGTCAATAAGACGATGGATAATCGTCAGGAAAACGTTAATGCCACGGACGTCAACTACGTAGCACTGGAAGTTCCAGCAAATGAAAGTTTTGAATGTTCTTTGTTTACAATATAGAAACGCATGTGCTTACTCAAGTTTGGCGGTGTATGTACTCCGCTGTTAACGGCCATTTCTCCATACAGTACCGCAAGAACTGCCTTGTGTAGAAAGTATCCAACAACGCTGATGCCATATTTTGGAAAGGGCAGAGAATTCAATTGGTGACCGTTATCCATCAAAACGTCCACTTTTTGGCACCGAATAAGATGCT